ATAGGGGCAATTAGTCAAGCAAGTCTAGATTCTTAGGGACACAGACAGTTACAAACTTAACTCCACTTTTTAAAACAAGTTCTTACAAAACCAGTTGGATACTTCTTTACTTTTCAGTTAGCTTACTTGTGGATAAAAGAAGCAATTTACATTGTTCCTCCTGCACAGTTATTTTGTTCTGATTGTTAGATCTTTCATAAATAAAGTAACTGTAAATCAATAGTATTTTTTGCTTTTAAAAAGATAAATTAAAGCATTAAGTATACTTTAAAAAGCCTTCTTATGCAAACCTCTCTTCCACACCTCTCTCTTTTTTTTCCTTAAACTGACAAGATTCTTACACCAAGAGAAGCTCTAAATCCTGCTAGGCCAGTATCAGTAGTTGGTTTCAAGGACCTAGCCACAAAGAAGTATGACCAGGTAAGATAAACATCAGCAAATCCTCCCTCCCTTGCCATTTTCAGTATACACATGTTCAGTGCTCTCTTGACTTTTTTTCCCCTCAGTTAAAGCACAGCAGTCATGGTTACAAGAGATTAGACTTTGTCTGGACATCTGTCATTAATGGTTACTCCTGTTTGAAGGAAGGTATTGAGGACTATGCTAATTTATTTTGCCTTTGGCAATAGCAAAGCAGATGCTTCAAAGGTTTGTAACAAGCCACTGTCGTTCATGTCTCAGTACAGCAGAAAAAAAAACACCTTTTAGCAATCACATTCTAACAAAGGTAGAACATAGCAATCATAAACCTACAATGGAACAGAAAAACAGAGCCAGTGACTCAGTCGGTCACACTGGGAACTGGAAAACCTGCCCCTCCCTAGCAGGAAAATGTGTAATTCATACAGCGTTAAAAACAAAGGAGAGTGGCTGCATCATCTCCAGAAAAAGTAGGACCCAAGGGACAGAGGGGGGGAAAAAAAAAAGAAAAAAAAAAATCAAAACCAACTACACCAACAAAAAACAATGACTTATTTAATCATCTAAGTTTCGTATCTTGTAATGAGCAAATTACCAACTTTTTACAAGGCTCTTTCCTAGATCATGGCTATATGAAGTAAGGTGTAGGGCATTTAGCATGTTGATGGACATAACAGAAAAGCTGGTGCAGAGAAAAGCATATACCATGATCAGTAAGTAGCATGGCTTTATGAACACTGTGCTCCATCTTGATAAACTCGATTGCTTTTCAAATGAGGATAGAACTATCATGAAGAGAAAAAAAAAGAAGTGCACAATGTTTTAAGTTTAGATTTAGAAAAGCATTTGCTACTCACTAAGGAAATCATGGCTGAAAAATTAATTCAAGCTGGGTAGCTGAATAGCACTGCTCATATTACTAGAAAATGAATGTTTCAAAAGTGTAATGATATATACCAATGGAACTATCAGACACAACAACATCTACTGTGTTGCTGCAGGGATCTTAGATGGTCCAGTTTTCATTGACATCTTAATTACTGATCTAAGACTGAACAAACAAAATGTTAATTAAACTTGCAGATGATACAGAATTAAGTTTACAAACACCAGTGGGTAAAGGCAGCTCAAACAAGAGAAGTGGTTGAGGGGAAGGAGGAGGAGGTTGGGACAGAAATTAGACTATCTGGAAAAAGTAATGCCAGGAAACTGAAGCAACTTCAAGAAAAGAAAAAAGAAAGCAAACAACAACAACAACAACAATAAAAAACCACAGAGATAAATCAAGTAAAGAAAAGGCCCTCCCAGAAGCAAGAGTTAAACACATGAACGAGTAAGAAAGCTGAACAAATGAGATTTTTCTATAAAGCACATTCTTCTACAAAATGACCAATATAACTTTTGTCTGTCTGTGCTCAGTTGTCACTTCAGGCAATAGAGAAAGATAAATCACCTCCAACACGTGAAGTATCACATATTCTGCAAAAGGAACACAGACTAATTGAATAAAATGACTAGTACAAAGAATAATCATTAGACCTAGAATAATAGATGTTGCAAAATATAAAAAATATAGTCTCAATGGTGATCTGTAATAACTTAGAAGTAGCAAATGCAAGAAGAGAGGGAAAAACAATAATTTCACAGAAACATGCCAAGGCAAAAGCTATTGCATTAGGCTAACAAAAATTAGCTTGAATTTCAGGAAATCCCAACTGATTTTAAAATGCATTGGGCTATGGAAAAGCTGTCCAAAAGAATCATTGCATGACATTTAGGGGAAAAAAAGAATTTAAAAAAAAAAAAAAAAAAAAAAAAAAAAAAAAAGAACAAAGGACAAATTTGAGTGAGGATCTTTTATATATATATTCTTAAAAAAAATAAAAAAAATAAAAAATTAAATAACATGGAATTTTTGTTTTCTTAAGATACAGCCACGTGGCCAGATAAGACAGGTATCCTTTGACTACCTCAAAAATAAATTATAAATGTGGTCCAAAGAACAGCTCAAGGTGCAACAAAACTACAATGCTGCTAGAAAACCATTCCCATTTTAATCTTACACCCAACCCACTAGTCATTGTATCCACCTCTCCAGACATAGCCCCACTCACGTGAACATACATATGATTAACTGGTCTAGGGAACAGGTATGGCTGAAAACTAACTTGCTGAAACAGTGTTTCTTCTGATTTGGGTCTGCGTCCATACCACCCCACATAAAGGAAAAACTTAAGTACAGAAATGGACTGCCTGTGCAGGCCAGCTCTGTCTTCAGCAGTACCAGTCTGCAGTATTTGTGGACCTATCCCTATAATTATGCTGTGATAAAACCAAGACCTAAAAGAATCAGTCCAAATAAAGCATGGAATATTAAGAAAGATAAATTGTGAGTGTCATTCCAGAAATAATCTCAAGCATCAACTGGAGAAACTGTACTTTTCAATGATTTTCATAATGTATTTGAGTTCTGTGAAACAAATATCTGAGTAAAAGACCCAACAGCAACCATTATTTTATCTTAAACCACAAGCAAGATTCTGCACCTTGGAATCTTTCTCGTCAAGTCTGTCATTACTATTCTTATGCCATTTTCTCCCAGAATTTCCATGGTACAGGAACATTAAAACACCACAGTAATAATCTGAAGTAATTTAAAACTATCAGCAAAGTTATTAAAAAAAAAAAAAAAAATGTAACAGGGAACAAGAGAGAAAAGAAATTTGTAATTTGTAATATCCACTATCAACAGTAATTGTCATGCACACTACTTCATCCCAAGATCACCTAAAGGGCAAGAACAACGAGCTGACATTCCAGGTCAGAGATGATAGGCTTGTCAAATACTCGAATTTGAATAGTCCAGACCAGGATTTAGAAAAACTCTGCAAGGTAACTGTACGGACTGGCTGGCTACCTTTTGGTCTGTGAACTAAGAGTCCCTCATATGCCAGAGACCCTTGGCATCCAGCAGCCTTAATAAAGAAAATCCTCTGTATTCATTACAAGACAGCCCAACTTCTTCTCCATAGTGAGAAAAATCTATCAAGTCCAAAAGTTTTCAGTTGCATCAACAATAGTAAAGCAGATTTATCATGGCCCTAGCCTGGTTAAAAAGAACACCTCTTTTCCCCCTTCTTCTTTTCACTTCATTCCTTCCCCATCATACTACCCACCTCCTGGAGAAGGAAAAATAAAATGTCTTCCATCTTCACAGACAGATGGGCAAACAAGTGAATATTCTACTGTTTGGACACAGAAAATGGGATATAGTCTAAGGGAAACAGATCTGTTCCAAGTAATAGGAAACAAGAATAAAAAATCTTCCCTGCCACCCATCCCCCATGCGTTCAAAAATTTATTTTGTGTTGATTATTTGTAGCGGACCTACAAAGCTCTGCTCTTAAGGTTAGAAAGTAACAGGAGTATAACTTCAGGTTAAATTAAAAACAAAACAAAAATTGGTTCACTTAATCCATAAAATACCTACTTGAGCTGCACTGTTGCACTCCTTCCCCCATTCTAAACAAAATAAAATAAAATTCTGCACAAGATAAAAGATTACTTGGGGAGTAGCGTTGGTTTTCACTGTTTTTTCCTTTGTGTGTGTGTGTGTGGAGGGGGAGGAGGGGGGAAAGAGGGTTGTTTGTTTGTTTTAAAATCCTTTCCAGGAGCATGCCACCAAAATTCATGTCTTCTAACTTCTGATTAAAAAACACTAGGAAAACACTATTTCCTCATCTTTTCATAAATGCATTAAGACAACCCACATGTAATACCATGGATTTTTTTGCTTATTACTGTTAATTTTGTTTTACTCCAAAGCACTTTCCGTAGTTTACAATAGAATTTATATCCTTACTACAAAAAGTTCTGTTCCTCCTCTTAACTGGTCCCCCCAGATCAACTCTATAAAACATGCAGAAACCTATTTTTTCCATGAGAAGTGTTAACAGTTCTCTGCCGATGCACCAGCAGCAGAGTTCCCAAAGTCCTGTGCAGGCACAGAAAGGGGAAAGGAACCAGTCGCCTCCATTGAGAATTTTCTAATCACTTCCTTCATACGTTCACATCTCCTCTGTCGCACATGACCAACTTCGAAATCTTTCTTTTACCCTTTTTTCCAGCAGACACTCCCCAGTACCCCGCGGGAAAGAGATCGGGAAATAGCATGTCCTGACCTGAGAAAGGCAAGAGCAGCTGCTGTTACACTGAGGCAGTGAGGACCAGTTTCAAATCCACCTCCTGCTCCAGGACTTCATGCCAAAAGAGCAGATAAAATTTATTACTATATGCCTCTCTCTCTTGCTCGATCCCCACCCCTGAGTCCTTAGGGCTTTGGACAGGGAAGCGGATCAGCTTCTCACTCAGCATTGTTACCACCAAGCCAGAGAGAAAGAAAGTTGCCGGGGTGGTTCCCCTCGGGGAGGCTCCAGAACGTATTCTCGGGACTCTTCCTTCCCGAACTCCCCAGAAAGGCAGAAAGTGGAGACGGTATGAACAATGCCGGGCCCGGCCGGGCCGGGCCGGAGTTAAGCAGGAGCACACAAAGCGGCCCCAGGCGAGTGCCACCGACTTACCTGAAGAGCGTGGAGCGACGAGCAGGACGGCGAGACTGCGCGGTGGCGGAGGGAGGCAGCGTTCGGGCCAGAGTTTGATAGGAAAAGAGAGGGTTTTTATTTTCCCTGGAGTTTGAAAGGAGTAAATGAGGAACGCGTGGAATGAGAGTTGGTATGAAATGAACGCGACTGAGGGAGGGGACTCCCGTCTAATGTAGAGGATGGAAGAGGGTTAGGGAGGGGACTGGCCGGGGGGAGAAGGGGGAGGCGAGAGAAAAGCTGAGGCGGGGTTGTGAACAAAATCCAGAGGGGATCGGCTCTCTCCGGCTCGAGGACGTGCGTGCTCGGGGAGGGGAGGGGAGGGGAGGGGGGATCGTGGGGCAATGGCCGGAAGAAAAAGCCCGCAGGGGCGGGTTGCCCCACAAACGGGAACAGAGGAAGGAAACTCCAGGCGGCCGCGAAGGAAAAGCCGGGAGGAGAGCCGAGGGAGCTTGGCTGCAGGGGTGTCGGGAGCGGAGGGGACACGGCCACCTCCAGAAATCAGTGCGTCGGTGAGAGCTGGGAAAAGAAGTTGTAATCGCTGTTCAGGACGGCTCTGCTCCAAACGGTGGACAAGCCGCGGTAACGCCGCCTCTTGCCTGTTGTTTTACCAGGCGTGGGGGTACGCGGACGAGAAACCAGCGCCCGCGCCGGAAGCCCTAGGGCTACAGTCGCCCCAGGCGGTGACTTAACAGCTGCCGGCCCCCGTGCGGCCCTCTTCGACTGTCGGGTCCAAGCGCTCTTTAGAGCCACACTTCGGCCCTTCAGCGCGGTGATCCCAGGCCAGCACAGCCCCGCGTCTAGCCCCTTGCAGCCAGGCCTGACTTACAGGCCTCTTCGGAGCTACCTCAGGAATGTGGCTTTCACCCCGCATAGCTAAACGGCTACAATAAAAGCCAGCCCCAGCACCACAGAAGTGCTTGTTTAGTGACAGTTTAACTGTTTCGAGAGCATCCGAGATAGGAAACTATTCACGTAACAGCAATGGGATGTTCTCTATGGCTTTTCTCAAGCCAGTCTTCCAGGTAGTTGACTTTAAAATGACTCCCATTTTTCCGTGGGGGCTCTATGCATCCCTTCTCCTTTTCTGCCTTCTCTTGCCAGTCTTCCCTCACCTGCAGAGCACATTCCATGACCAACGCGTCACTGCATTGAAACTATACATTCACACCTAACTGGCACAGCAAGCAAAGTAGGCAGTCCCAGCTCAGTAGCAGTCATTTATCCTGTCATGTCTACCAGACTTGCCTTGGGGCAGGCTTAGAATTAGATCTGACAGCTGGTCTCGTTCACTACACAGTTTCTCTTTTCCTATATCATCAATCAACTTCATCTCTTAAGCTAGCCTAACACATCTATTTCTGAATCTTTAACCCTCCTAACTAGCCTACTGTGCTCACAGCAATCCAGAGGAGAGCCACCGAGTTGTTTTCCTGAATACCTGTTTTATCATCTCTCCACACTTTGCCAACACTGCTCATCTCTTCTTCATAGCAGCAAATACACAACACATCTTCACCAGTAAGTCCCAAAGGTCCTTCATGGTCTTTTACAAATGTTCCTTTCTCAGTGGTCATTTCTAATCAGTGGATCAGTCTTCCGCCATACTAGTCTTCTTTCTCCTGTTTTTACATTTGGACACTGACACCTGAGAAAGCAGGATTGTAGTCAAAAACAAGCCAAGGGAATTTCCCTAGTTCTCCTTCAACAGTATTACAATGGCAGCACTTTTTCTCTGCCTGGTTATTTTTATCTCATTTTTAGTTTTAATTATTTGAATTAACTTAAAAAAAAAAAAATTACTTCATTTATTCACACAGAAATATCCCTCCCAACTTCAAACTCCATTATGCATATCATGAGACCTAAAGAAAATTTTCTTTGGACTATTGAGATAAAATGCTATCATACTAATTGGTTTGCCCAACTTCTTCCTAACGTGTCCCTACTTGTCTGCCTCTGTTTTTTCTTGTGTCTTAAGTTTTATTTAGAACATTTTAAGCAAGAATTCATCATTGTGTGCCAGAGGAGCCCCACATCTTATTCAGTGGGGCTGCTCTCCAGCATCTCATTCTCCAGTCAGTATGGAAAATGGCATACACCAGCCCAAAGAAAAAACTGAATGATGAAATGGACTATTAAAGACTATTGTAAGACCAGGGACACTTTAAGAGATTTAGTGAATCAAGTGAATTTAGTGAATCAAGCCAATGTGCAGAGGTGAAGGCCTTCCAATGTTGCTGCCTGGCACATCACGTAGATGCTCATGTATCTTGAGTTGGGCCACTGAAGAACATCAAAATACAAAGCAGGTGGATCAGGCTACTAAAATTTAAGTGGTTCAGGAAGATCTGGACTGGCAACATAAGGGTGAATTATTTACAGCTTGATAGGTCCATCATACGTCAGGCCACCTAGGAAAAGATGCAACATATAATGGGCTCAAACATGTAAATGTTTGAGGGGAAGACTTGACCATGGACACTATTGCACAGGTTATCCACAAATGCAAAATGTGCTTCAATCAAGGAAGCCAAGCAGATAAAGCCCCTCTGGTATGTAGAACAATGGCTGAAATATGAATACAGGGTGAGGTGATAGATATCACACTTCCACAAATCTGATACAGTTAAGCACCACATGCTTACAATGGTGGAAGTAACCACCAGGTGGCTAGAAGCAAATCCTACATCTCATGCCACTATCCAAAACACTAGCTAGGCCTTTTCAGTGGTGTTCATGTTGTTTAGCAACAGGAGAGACTGAATGCCATGCACCACAGTCACCACTGCACAATCTTACTGGAATAATCCTCAGAGCATTGTCTACTTCATTTCTTACTCACCTTTTATTTGAAAAGGAGTAGGAAATGTGGTTAGCATCTGTTTTCTGTCCCCTCTGCAAAGAGGTCCTTTAATACCAGGGCAGAGGTGCTGAAGTGACAGCAGGTCTCATGTATGGCAGAGGTTTGAAAGTACAGGA